GAACCCCCCCCCAACACACACACACACACACACACACACACACACACCCTGCCCTATCTCAGTCAAGCCCCTCAGCCTCTCTGCTCCTCTCGCTCTTCCTTCTGCCCTAACTCGCTTCTCGCAGCCCTCCCCTCCCGCATCCCTTCTCCCAGGACTGGTCTGTCATGTTTCATCTGTTCAAGAGGACATTGAAAATGAAAACAAATTGAGAACAAAACAAACAAAAAAAAAATTGTATGGCAGTTTTTACTTTTTATCGCTCGTTTTTAACTTCACAAATAAATGATAACAAAACCTCCCCATGTCTGCTGGGTGCCGTCTCTCTTTCTCTGTTCCCACCTGCCCCCATAGAATTTTGAAGCAGATGTTTGTTCTTTATAGATGTTGTAAACCCTGATAACGGTGATTGGAAATTACAAGCTTTGTGTTGTGTTTTTTGGGTTTTTTTTTTTTAAGAAAACAAATATAAAATAGTTTCAGCAGGCACGTTGTACTTTTTCCTATAACTTTTTTTCCCCCTATCCCCATTTTTTTCTTTTTTTTCTTTTTTGTTAAATAAAGTGCTTTTTGTCTAAAACTGTGTGCTGGCCGCAGTTGTGTTTGTAGAGGAACAAGGCTTGGCTTATGAGAGTGGGAGGGGGGTGTACTAGCCCCATCCAAAGACTCTACCCTCTGATTTTGTTTTGGGAGGAAAAGGCCATATCACTGTAGGTGCACCCTGTTATTACCTCTGGGAACTTGGGTAGCAAAGCACCCAGGATGATCCCCAGGGATTTGCGTTCCCATGGATTTGGCCTGCCTCACCGGAATCAGCCTGGCCTTGCTACATGTGCTCTCATTAGAGAATCGAGGTGGAAACCTAGTCTGTCTATGGGAATGGCGCCAGTTCGAGTGCTTGGTGGCCATGGCCTCCCAAGGATGACAGGAGATGGGAGAGTAAGTTAAGGGGCCACTTGAACTGTCGCCCACACTGTGTAGCAGGAGTGTTCCATTTGGATTTATGGTTGAGTATTAACACTTGAAATTACCAGGTCTCACATTCTGAATCTGATTGCCTGGGTCCAGAGACTTAAGTGGCAACACCAAGCAGAGGCCAGCAACAGTGCTGCCTCTAGGTGGGACCATTCACAACCCTGTGACATTCCACATTTGTTAGGAACCGGTCCCTGTTGGAGTTGGTGGCCTCCAGTAAGCCCACCTTGTAGCACAGTGTGCCAGAAGAGGGATGCTATTGCTCTAGGGCTGTGGTTCTTAACCTGTGGGTCACGACCCCTTTGGAGGTCTAACGACCCTTTCACAGAGGTTGCCTAAGACCATCCTGCATATCAGATATTTTCATTGCGATTCATAACAGTAGCAACATCACAGGTATGAAGTAGCAATGAAAATAGTTCTATGGTTGGGTCACAACATGAACTGTATTTAAAGGGCCAGAAGGTTGAGAACCACTGCTCTAGGGTCACATGGACAGGTTAGATTAACACCCTGGGCTTGCTGTGCAGGCACTGCACTCCCTTAGCCCTATGCTGGTATTGGGATGAGGGAGAATCGGCCTCCAGCCTCTGCCATCTCACTATAGGCTTGCAATGACAGCAGCGCTTACCTATAAGTTTTCTGGAACTTTTGTCAAGATCTAGAGTGTGAGAAAAGGGGTCAGTTGTTAGAGCTACACAATTGCCCTCCACCCCATAGACAAGGACAAAACAATTTTACAGGCCTCTTATTTTTATTTATATCTATTGATTTCGGAGAGGAAGGGAGAGGGAGACATAGAAACATCAATGATGAGAGAATCATTGGCTGCCTCCTGCACACCCCCTACTGGGGATCGAGCCCACAACCCAGGCATGTGCCCTTGATGGGAATCGAATCCAGGATCCTTCAGTCCATTGGCTTCTATCCACTGAGCCAATCCAGCTAGGGCAGCAAAGCTATCATTTAGAATTGAAGGTTAGATAAAGAGCTTCACAGATAAGAAAAAGCTAAAGGAGTTCATCACCACCAAACCAGTATTACATAAAATGTTAAAGGGTGGATATTCTTTAAGAAGAGGAAGAAGAAAATATAAAATTGCAATAAATATATATATGTATGAATGAAGTCTAATGAACAAAATAAACTGGTGAATAAAATAGAATCAGAGGCTTGGGAACATGGAACAGACTGAAGAATCTCGGGGCGGCGGGGGTGAGGGGGTGGAAAAAGATTAACCAAAGATCTTATCTGCATATGTGCGTTCCTTATGGACACAGACAGTAGGGTGGTGAAGGCCCGGGGTGGGGTGGGAACCAGGTGGAAGAGGGCACTGAGGGGAAAATAGGTACATCTATAATGCTCTCAACAATAAAGTTTTCTTTAAGCTAAAACAAAACTATGAAATAAGAGGTTGATGGGCGTTTTACAACAGTCACTATCTGATGCTATGGATTGTTTAGGGATGCCACAACCAAATAGCAAAGATTGGGTGACTCGAACAACAGAAATTATATTTTCTCATAGTTCTGGAGGCTGGAAGTCCAAAATCAAGGTGTCAGCAGGGTCAGTTTCCCCCAAGCCTCTCTCCTTGACCTGTAGATGCTGTCTTCTCCCTGTGTCCTCAGTGGTCTTCGCTCTGTGTATGTCTTATGTCCTCATCTCTTCATATAAGGGCACCAGTCAGATTGGATTAGCCACCACCTAAATGACTTATTTGAACTTAATCACCTCTTTTTTTTTATAATATATTTTATTGAGTTTTTACAGAGAGGAAGGGAGAGAGATAGAGAGTTAGAAACATCGATGAGAGAGAAACATCGATCAGCTGCCTCTTGCATATCTCCTACTGGGGATGTGCCCGCAACCCAGGTACATGCCCTTGACCGGAATCAAACCCGGAACCTTTCAGTCCGCAGGCCGACGCTCTATCCACTGAGCCAAACCGGTTTCGGCCTTAATCACCTCTTTAAAGACGCTGCCTCCAAGTACAGTCACATTCTGAGTTAGTGGGGGTTAGGACCTCAACATATGGATTGAGCGGCACAATTCAGGTCAAGACAGACCCCTTACTAAGAGTGTGGCAGACAGGCAAGAAGGAGCCTGCTGAAATAACCACATTGCTCTACACCAAACTCACTGGTTCATGTACCAGTAAACAGGGGAGGAAGCAGACCATTGAGAAAGAGAGAGTATCACAGCCCTGGGTGGCAGAATTGGACAGAATTCCAGCCAGCCCCAAGCCTTGGGCATCTCTCAGAACAACTGGCCCAAGCACTGCAAGGCCGGGGACAAGAGAAAGCCCTACCACAAGAAGGGAAAATATGAGCTGGCGCCTGTTCGCATAGTCCACATGCAGGGAGGCAGCAAGAAGTACTGTGCCTTGAGGCTGGACGCGGGCAACTTCTAGGGCACCAAGTGTTGTACACACCATGTGAGGATTATTGATGTTGTCTACAATGCATCCAGCAACAAACTGGTCCACACCAAGATCCTGATGAAGAACTGCCTCATTCATGCTCATTAACAGCGGACCATACCAACTGGTGCAAGTCCCACTATGCACTGCACCGGAGCCCCGAGAAGGGGCTAAGCTTTAGGCTCCTGAGGAGGAAGCGATTTTAAACAAAAAACAAAATGCAAAAGGAAGAGGATGAGAGGGAAACAAATGCCAAAAGCAGCAGTTTCCTGAGGAGCAGCTCCAGCAGGGCGAGCTCCTGGTTTGCTTCGCTTTAAGACCAGGCCGGTGTGGTCAGGCAGGTGGCTATGTGCTGAGGGCCGGGGGCTGCAGTTCTAGCTGAGCAAAATCAAGGCCCAGAAAGGCAAATAAATTCCCCTCCCTCCTATCTTAGCTCAGTAATAAAGGTGTTTACTGTTTTAAAAAAGAAAAGAACAAGAACTCTGCAAGCACAATACACTGTTTCCCCCACTTTCTCAAGTCCACCTCCTGGGGCCCAGTGAACATTCAGGGGCCTGACTCCTCTTAACACATTTAAACAAGAAACCAGCCGAAACTGGTTTGGCTCAGTGGATAGAGCGTCGGCCTGCGGACTGAAGGGTCCCGGGTTCGATTCCGGTCAAGGGTATGTACCTGGGTTTCGGTCACATCCCCGGTGGGGGATGTGCAGGAGGGAGCTAATCGATGTTTCTCTCTCATCGATGTTTCTGACTATCTCTCTCCCTTCCTCTCTAAAAAATCAATAAAATATATTTTAAATAAAAAGAAACCAGCTATGGCAAAGAGACAACTAAGCATGCAGGACCCCTGCTACAAATTCACATCAACGCTTATGAAGTACGCTTGAAAAACATTCTGAGTCCTGAACCAGACTCTGGAGACACACTACCAACTTACAGGAAATATAGAGGAGAGAAGAACATGGTAGAAAAAAAAAATGACTTTGCAATCAGCAAAATCCACACTGTGCGAAATAAAAAGAACCAGAGAACCGGCTTCTCCCATAAATAAAATTGCAAGGAAACAAAAGCAGCAGAGGTGGAAGGAGCACCTATAGATGAAAAGAATGTCAGAGACATAGCAACCAATTGCAGTGGGTAAACCTTACTTAAATCCTGA